TAGCTTCTAGCATTATGCCTCTGGCAGACATAATTCAGCTCTTGCTACACCATATTCAATTTTGGTTCTTTCCTACTGGCTATTAAGTCTTGTTCTATAGCTAGGTGCATAGAAAGATTAGTGACAGATTTAATGGCAGAGTTTATTCTTAACGTAGTGGCAGCCATAGCAAGGGAAGGGGGGAGACTATTTAAAATAGCTGCCACTTGCATTCCTTCCGGGATTTCATTCCCAGCAGTGGATAAGTTCTTAGCCATGACAATCATCTTGTTAATATGCTCTACGACATTATCTCCCTCTTGCATTCGACAAGAATTATACTTATGCAAGAGGAGTTGAATGTTAACTTCAGAGGCGGTATCGTATTTTTCTTTTATAGCATTCAACATGTCCATGAAAGTCTTATAAGTTTTAAAAACTTTGATTAAGTTATCTTCCATGAACATGAGCATTAAACTTTTTGCCTTTTTATCTTTCGACTTTCATTGCTCAAATCATTTCTTTTCTTAAGGTATAAGTTTATTAGTAAGGGTTGAAGCAGTAGTTTCGATTACATCATTGATATTGTCATGAATAAGAACATATTCTATTTTTCTATGCCACATATCATAATTACTGTCATTAAATTTATCAATTTTTCCTAGGTCTGAAAGAACGAGTTTACTAGCCAATCGGTAGAGAACTAAAACTAAAATCTAATTTTAAAATATGTATAAGGTTGGTATATAGACATGTATACTAAAAATAAAATAAAAAAAATTAGATACAAAAAAATAAATAATTAAAAGAACCTAACTGTTTCGAGTTGAGAAAGGATACTCCAATTCCAACGAGATCGTCACCTAGTGGTGTTGAATGGATAAGCATTTGTCGAAGTTAGTTCTGACTAGATTTGGAGATGATTTACTGTGTGAAAACCAGCCTTATGCGGTGCCCTACGCTTCAAGAGATAAGTGAGCCAGACCTTCGCTTAGCCCACACAACTCACTACCCAACTTGGAATGGTCGGGGCAGCATAGAGTACTGATCACCTAGGCCTAACTACAAGTCCCAATATCCCACCACTTTACAGCCCCGCTCGGTAACAAGCTCGCGCGACTGAGCTCGTCTCACTTTTAGTTTCTCTCTATTATTCCTTCTTCTCCCCAAAACCCTCTCTTGAAACCCTTGTTAGGTCTCATTTTTATGAACCTACTATCTAATCTGGTTTTAATGATTAACAAACAATTCCTAACAACGTTTGTCGAGTGTTTGTGTTTGCTTGTTAGGTATTTTACACAAAGATCATTGTTAGAGGTTGGTTGGAATTGAGCTTCACGATGACATTTAAAGGAGGTTGGAAGGAAATAGGAATCAAGCCGTCGCATTCAAGTCAAAGATCCAATATCGCGCTTCATCCCTCTACCGAGAACAAGTTTAACAAAGACTTTTTAGCTTGGGTATATAGTTTCTAGTTTAGTTTTTATACTTTGTGTGATTATACTAAAAAACTCAAATATTACACACATACACGTTTTCATTTTATAGCTTTCAAGTTAAATTGTATAAAATATGAAATAAATAGTTATATCCTTATACATATATACTTGTTTCATATTTTTCATCTTTATTTGGACAATAATGTTTTATATCTTTTACAAAATCTATTAATCCATTCAAAAGAATTTCTAAACGTGTTTGAAATCGTTTTCTCAAAATCAAGTGTTTAAACGAACTCGTATTTTTTGAGATTTTGCAAAATGATGAGTTTTCACAAACGGGGAATGATATTTTAAAAAAATTCCTAACCTGTTTATATTCATGCATATAAACATTTACCAAAGTTTCATAATTTTTAAAATTTATTTGCTATTTTTAAACGCACTTTGAAAATTGAATTTACTGTTCAAAAATGGGTTGTACACGCTTTTTCGTCAACCGACACTGTTCATCAGTCTACCGATGAACTGCTCTGAAATTGCTGAAAAGTTTCTGCTCAGTCGACCGATCTCCATCAGTCGACTGAACAATATTTTCGGTAGACCAATGGCTTGCATCAGTCGACCGATAGCTTTCTAAAATCAACCAACGGTCATCTCATCAGTCGACTAAACAGCGTATCGGTCGACCGACGGCACTGTAACAGCTAGTTTTTGTGCCTTGCTGTTTTTGAGGCTATAAGAGAGTTTAAACCCTCCCACTTTCTTCAAGAAGTTTTTCAAGGTTTTTAACAAAAGTTTCAAGAGAAGTTTTTCAGTTTGTTTCCACGTTTTTAAGTGAGTTTGTTTATGTGAAGAAGTTTTCATAAAGAGAAGGCTTACAATTTCCGTTTTGAGGAATTCAACCTCAAATCTTCATCTATATCTCTTTGTGCTCTTTGGAGAAGTTTTCTAAACTCAATTATCTAGTTTGTTTATATTTAAATTGTTATATTTTTATTTGCTAGATTAATTTGAGTTTGATTTTATTTTTTCTCATTGATTTCACACACAATCAATTTGAGCTTAAGTACTTTCACATATTATATATTTGAGTTGTGGTGAGTGATTCATTGAGAGTGAGCTTACACTTAGTTCTCATCCTTGTATTAGAGAACAAATAAATTTATCTGTGTCTTATTATTGAGAGAACATGTTGTAATACACAAGAATACTTAGAGAAGTGGTTGGGAGAAGAACGAGGTCAATTACAAGAGGAGTGATTTGATTGTAAAAGCTTAGAAAGAGGTAGTAATTCCAAGCATTTGAGGAATGTGACACGAGTCGGCCAACACTTAGGAGGAGTGTATTGTGGTATTGACAATCGTGTGATTTGTAAACATTATCGGTGAGCGTTGAAAACAGATTTGTGTAGTTCTATTTGTGTTGATAGTGGAGAATCTTCTCTAGGGTGAGGAGCAGAGACATAGGTCGAGGGTTGACTGAACTACATGAATATATCCTTGTGTATGTGATTGTTTTGGCGCACTCTTATTGTCTCATTTTTTATATCGCCTATTATTTATTGTTTATCATTGCACATAATTTCATTGTATATCATATTTGCTAGGATATTAGTTAATAAGTTTTAATTTGGCATCAATTGGATTAGATTAGAAATTACCCTATTCACCCCCCTAGGGTAATTTCAACCCTAACTCCAAATTTGGCGGATCGACCAAAGCTTGTAGGCGACCAAGCTTAGAGATCGATCAAGCAATTGAGGAGATTGGAACAAAGGGAAAAAGTTGGAAGCTGCAATTTTAACGGCCACCTGTGAGATCGATGAAGAAATAGAGGAGGTTCGACAACAGCAGAGTCGTCGTCGCCGCCGTCGATCGCAAGGAGAGTCGTCGACCTAGGCAGAGTCGTTGTCATCGATCGCAAGTAGAGTCGTCGATCGAGGCGCAGTCGTTGTGACCGACGCTAGCTCGAGATAGCGGCGTTCTGGGAGTTGAGGATCAAAGTGAGCTCTGATACTAGTGAATGTGAACGGAGAAGAGAGGAAAGAACGATGAGTTTCTTTGAGGGGGCTCCGGTAATAGGTAAGGGGCTCGTTTCTGTGTTACATTTTCTCAAGGAGAACATTGTATCTTTTATAAATGCCAAACTCATCATCTCAACCCCCTCAAAACTATCTCTGAGAGATTTTCTCTCAACAACCCAATTTAACATGTTTTTCTCAACTAAGAAACGTTTTGGTCACACAAGACCGAGTCAAGATAACACATCTTTCAAATTTATTTGGCTCTTTTTGGGCTTAGAGATCGTTTACCTTCTTGGTTGTTAATAAAAAAAAACTTCAAGATTTGATTATAAATAACGTTAATAAATGATATAGTTTACTTAAATTATAAGATTTATTTATATCAAGTATTAAAAGTATATGTGGCAATTCTTTTGCTGAGATTACTAATAACTTACTCTTATGTAAGTCAATAGAACTTTGAACAAGCAAAATCTATCGTTGCCACTCTATCAATACAAGATTTATGGATTGAAATTAAAGGTTACTATTAATTTCAGTTAATTTAACTAAGAACGGTTTAGATACTTCTGAGGAATCAACCAATCTTCTAATTTTGTATTCTAAAAGTTAGGATGAGGGCAGAATCAGTAGAGGGTAAAAATAGAACTTACGATGATTTAAATGGCATCTTTTGAAATTACTTGTGATTTGGGGGAGCAAAAACCAAATTTAAAAAAATAAAATAAAATCCTAGAACAAAATATCTCCTTCTCAAGAAAAAATATCTGACCCGCTACGAAACGTTGGATATCGGCGAACTCCGTCGTTTTGTCCCGTTTCCGTTTCAACAATCCCGTCTCCTCGAGCGCATGTGCCGCCGGGCCCATGTGCCGCCACCGCCACAACGTGCTCCTCTCGAGCTCCCCAAGAGCCGGTCACTCTTCCCAACCGTCGAGTCGGTTTCTTTTTTCAATTACACCCCCTCTAAACAACAAAATTTGTCACCCTCAGCAGAACAAAAATTTACCCTTTCAACCACGCGGTCAAATCAAAATGCCTTTATTCAACTTTACCGTTTCACCCTCTTTTGGTGCTATAAATTACAGTATCTCCCACTCAGAGAGCCGTTGATTCTTGGAACTCGCCTCTTCCTCACCCCCAACCTGCTCACTGTCGCAGAACCCCGTACCCACCCTACTCTTCCGCCTGTCAGCCATCAAAAAAAAAAAATCTCTCACCCTTGCCGCATTAGCGCGGGCCCCACTTCGCCCTTTATAAAATCCCCACCCGGACCCCGATTTTTTTCAATCCCCAGTTTCGATCCTCGGTTCCTGGAAATGTCGCATCTCAAATCCTCTCCCTGCCTTCTCTCTTCTTCCTCGTCTTCCCTCGCTTCGTCCTCAACCTTCACCTCACCAACAACTATGCGACTACACCAGTGTCTGGACGCGGAATCCTCTCCGGCGCCGGCACCGCCGCCCTCGAACACACCGGCTTCCCCCTCCGAGACCGGCGAGTCTCCGCCGTCGTCTCGGTCCCCGCGGCTGTCCGGTCGCCTCTGGGGTGCCGCACCAATGCTCATCCACCGACTCGATCCGGCAAATTCCAGGCTGCTCCACCGGCGACTGGGTCATCCTCCGTCGAGTGCTCCGGCAGCGGCAGCCGCCCCTCCTGCAACCATCGCGGAGTCACCTAACGGCAGCGACGCGCAATACTTCTACTTAGGACGTCCAGCCTTCTCGACGGCTTACAACCTCCGATGCTTTGGTCCTTCGGCAGGGGGTCGGGGTAACCTGCAGCTCGACCGATTTGCGTCCGTGCGATCTCACGGTTGGTGCCCGTCGGATCTGAAAGTGACGCAGTCGGGTTCGGATGCGGGGGTCGCGTGTAAGAGCGCGTGCGAGGCGTTTGGGACCGAGGAGTACTGCTGCAGCGGGGCGTATGGGAACCCGAATACGTGTAAGCCTACGCGGTACTCGCGGTTGTTTAAGAACGCGTGCCCGAGGGCGTATAGCTACGCGTATGATGACGGTACGTCTACGTTCACGTGCGAGAACGCGGACTACGTCATCACTTTTTGCCCCGCTGTTCCCAGGTGATTTATTGGTTGTCGCTGCTTTAGTTTCTCTGGCTTTTTTCCCCCTTAAATTTAATACTGGTAGTGGTAGCTTACGTAATATTTTGAAATTAGTCCCTGAAATTGGTCGCTCGATTCTAATAAATTGTTTCCACTTAAGTCCGTAAAATTCTTGAAAGCTCTATTTGAGTGCCTATGTAAGTGGGGGGGTTACTGGCAACGCCAAATTACAGAGGGCGGTAGTAGCAAATTTTTAGGATAAGCCTTCCCCAGACCCCACTCGTGGATTTCATTAGCCTATTATTAAAGAGAGATAAGGGACTAGTATATGTTAAAAAAAAAGGGAAAAAGAGAAGGAAAGATACGTTTTTCTTTCGGTGTTCTAGTTTCGAATAGGGAACAGGGGGATTGACCAATGATATTTCTTTCGTTTTGCAGACAGAAAGAGGGAAAGAACGACCCTCAGGCGGCGGGGTTGCCGTTAATAAATGAGGCGATGGTGTTTCAGAGCGGCGTTGAAGGCGGCAGATCATCGAGTATGGGCTCAGTTTTGCTTATTGTCGCGACGACTCTGGTGGTTTCATGGCGCGGTTGATGCTATGACTGCATCGCCGGTTCAATTGGTGGATGATGCTATAATGAGCTGTATGTTGCGGCCGGCCTCCGGCGGCGAGCTGAGGCGGTGGAGGATGTAAGGTGGGGGGTTGAAAGTTGCAGAGCTTCCTGTTGCTTGGAATTGAATGACTCTGATAGAGTTTTGGAAGCGTGAACATTGGAAAAGGTTTTGGTTGGGGCCTTGATGAGGAGGGAATAGTAATTATGTAGTTAAATTGAATTAGTTTTGTTTTTTTTATTATTAGCTTAGTTCTGCAGTGTAATGTATAAAAGCACTATTCAGAATTCTTCCGAAGACGTGTATGGATTGTTTTTTATTTACTATTGCCTTTACGTCTGAATTTTTACTAAATTAAATAATTTTGATAATCTCCTTTATCAATGTATATGATCGTTAATCTTGATTTCTTCCGAAGTAGATCAGATATTGTAACTTAGAGCTCAATTCTTTCAACCCTCTAACGCTCTATACTTCAAATTCCCACATCAACTCCATGAACTATCAGCACTTGATTGTTGACTGACATCAAAATTTAGATCTTATTCATTCTGACAAGAATTAGGCCAAGGAGAGCTGTTTTGAAATTAAGTAGCGTACTAATTTCATATGATGTTTTTGTGAGGGATCGACCTCTTAATAGGGTAATTCAAGATAAACCTGATGTTCCATTAAAAATATGTCAAAATTAATTTTCCACTCAGAACGCGCAGCACATTGCGAGCAATCTGAGTGGAAACAGGGGCAATAAAATATCCAAACTATCTCTGAACTTATCTCAAAATATAGAGAAGGACAGGTATCCCTGGAGTATGAAAAAGGAGCAACTTTCTCCTAATATTGAAACCTTTTAGAATATATCTCTTCAGAACTTCTCTTACATATCAATAATTTTATGCATTTGTTGATAATAATATGTTAGTAGTGGGTTTAGTCCCACATTAGTTATGAGGACAAACCTTACCCTCCTCTACTTGTATATATATATGTACACACGCAATATTCAATTCAACGGAAATTTACCCAAGACTCTCTCTCTCTCTCTCTCTCTTACTTTAACATGATATCAGAGCTTGGTTTAGGGTTTTCCAAACAATACTTTTTTAAATAAATAAAAATTTCCCTTCTAAGTCGCCAATCTCATATATATATATATATATATATAAAACTAATATTTAAAACCTTGGTGTTCCATTCAAACCTTCAGATTTTATTTTAAACCTTCGGGTTTCATTCTAACCTTCACGTTCTATTTTAAACATTCGGGTACCATTCTAACCTTCGGGTTTTTCGTTCAAAGGTTATTATCTTGAACTTCGGTTTGCTATTATGGCCCCTTTAGAGAAGATTCCTAAACCACCTCTAGCCCTCAATGATCAAAGTGACTGGGCAAGGTGGTCCACCATTGTCACAAATGCCTTACGTGGCGCTGGTCTGCTTGATCATCTCATCAGTACGGGACCAGTTCCATTGTCCATCAACACTGTTACTTCATCCAGTACTGTTACATCTGATAGTGATGATGTCGATCTTCAGACCGCTCGTGCTCTCTATGTCAAGGAGAGTTCGGACTGGCAATTAAAGAAATTTTGTGTCATGGATTTTCTCACTCGTTGTGTTAGCTCCAGTCTCACTGTCGAAATTGGTTCGCTTCCCTCTACTCGGGCCATGTGGACTCGCCTTACTGAGCGTTTTATTGAGTGTTCTGATGTACGGGAAGCATATCTTCTGCAACGCGTTACTCTACAACGCAAATATAGTTCTTCTCTGCTGTCTTATTTTGGACAAATGCAAACTTTTTAGATAGAATTACGCTCCATGCTTCGTGGACGTGATTTCACATATGAAGACTGGCTAGCCTGGTACGAGCAACATGAGGTGCATCAACTGTTTCAGACCATTCCTGAATATTAAACTATGACTGATCAACTACTTCATCAGCCTTAATTTTCGACTTTGGTCTCAGTTATGGGAGCTCTCACTACTTATGAGACCCGGTAGCAAACAACACGACTCAATTTGTCAACAGACACTCCTACCTCTTTACTCGAGAATGCTCTATCTGTACCTATCACTGCTCCTGTTATGAATCATACTTCTCAACATGCTCCATCTCCACAAGCTCGATCTAAGCTCTCTTGCAAATATTGCAACAAGAAAGGACACCGCATTGAGACATGCTTCAAGCTTTATCCTGAGTTACGTTCCTCAGGTACTGGTCGTGGTCGGCGACCCCCTCAGTCTTAACCCTCTCGTGCATCAGGATTGTTGGTCAATATTATACCTTCTACCACTTCAGACTCTACTATTTAACCTATTGAAGGTCTTCGCCGTCAACTTGATGCTTTTCAGCTTATCCCCTCTACATCCGTTGCACAACTCTCTGGTATGCATTTTGCTAGTTCTTCAGCTAACCCTTAGGTCTCTGGTATGAATAATCTCTGAATTTTTAACTCTGGTTGTTCCTTTCCTATGACTTGTAATGCCTCACTTTTATTCTCTATCTTCACTAAAAGTACGGTGAATAGGATAATTGCTAATCTAATCCGATTACGATGCCAAATTAAAACTATTAACTAATATCCTAGCAATATATAATCAGATATGAATGCAAGGATATAAAATTAAACTAAAGACGATATAAACATGAGACAAAAGACGATATGAAAATACACAAGAGAATAAATACGCCAATATCAAACACAAACACAAAAATATGTTACCAGAGTTCGGTCATCCTCGACCTACGTCTCCGCTCCTCACCCAAGGCCAGCCCTAGCCTTAAGGCAGTCAAGGCCTTTGCCTTGGGCCTCATCCTAGCTAAGGGCCCACCCACCCACAACTCTTCCCTCCAAAACCCTAATCCTATTCATCTCTCTCTCTCACTCTCCTCCCGCCGCCCTCCCTCTCTCAAACATTAGGACTCCCAGACGCTCCAGTCTCCCCCAAGCTCTTCCTACGAATCCTACTCCCGCGCGACGGCGTCGCTAGCCACCTCCGTTCCCCACCGTTAACCACCCCCAAGATCTTCCGACTCCCGCCGCTAGCCACCTCCGCTCCTACCGCCAGCCACCTCTGTTTAGTCCACTCCCACTTTAGCCGCCTCCCGCTCCCACCGCCAGCCGCCTCCGAATCTCCAATCCCGCTTGGTCGCTTCATCCCATCAGCATCTTCTTCGCGATTCTCTTCACTACTTCTCTTCAATTTCTCCTCGGATATCAACAATCATATTTGGGGCTGCATCGACAACGGCTTCGCCTTACAGCACAATGTCGAGATTGCTTTTCTAGAAGTTGTTCGAGAAGGAATCGTCGACTTATACTTATCTCCTCGCCAGGGCCGGCCCTAGCCTTAAGGCAGTCAAGGCCTTTGCCTTGGGCCTCATCCTGGCTAAGGGCCCACCCACCCACAACTCTTCCCTCCAAAACCCTGATCCTATTTTCGTTCTCTCTTTCTCCCACTCTCTCCCGCCGCCTCCTCTCTCAAACATCAGACTCCTGACGCCTCCGCTCCCACCGCCAGCCGCCTTCGAATCTCCAATCCCGCTTGGCCGCTTCATCCAATCAGCATCTTCTTCGCGATTCTCTTTAGTACTTGTCTTCAATTTCTCCTCGTATATCAACAATCATATTTGGGGCTGCATCGGCAACAGCTTCGTCTTACAACACAATGTCAAGATTGCTTTTTCGAAAGTTGTTCGAGAAGGAATCGTTGACTTATACTTATCTCCTCCTCGATCTCAGCCACCCTCAAAAGCCCGTTGTGGTAAAAAAAGTTTTTTCTAAATTTTTACGACAATTGTTAGCATCACTCATGCAAATGTGTAATGCGACTTGAATTGTGCACTCCAATTATCCGCCTATAAGCGATTGTTTCCTATCAAAACCTCAGTTGGGGGCCAAATTTCAATACTCTTTGAGAGAATAGGTTGTTCTAAATTTTTATTTTCTTGGGACTCAATCATTGAATATGCGCATTCATGAGAAATTTCTCTTATTTCTGAATTCTTGGGGTTTTTTCTTGTGTTAAGCCGTTTAGATTGAATTTTTATCCGTTGTAGACAGATTGATGATGTTTTTGTCATTGTGGGTTGCTAATGGCATTGTTCTAACTTTTATCTTTCATTAATTTTAAATGCATTAATAACTTAGCAATTGGTTTGTTGCGGCAAGCGTCCAAAATGTTAATAATAATAATAATAATAATATCTCATACAGAAGTTCACAAGATTCTCATGCATTTTCATACTTGCCCCAAATTCAGGCTATTTATATTTGCTAAATTTGATCTTCTTTTGCAGCAGCTTGATCCGGTAGACAAAGCAGCAGATCGAGATTTAAGTCTTATTAGAGACGACCCGCTTCTCTCATGGGCTCACCGCCTCTGAATCTACGGTTCTATCTTTCTAACTAAAGCTATTTAATTTTCTTTATCATTTATTCATATTAATTTTATGCTTAATTAGAGATATTGTAGATATACATTAGAAGATAGATTGAATGGTTTAGCAAGATATATTGAATGGTTTAGCAATATTATCTATTGAAAATAATATGTTAGAAAATATTGAATATAAAACTTTAATTAGTAATTTTGTAGCTCAAAAGGTAAGAAGAATGAGATAAAATCTATTATGAGTTGTATCACTTAGGCCTCATCTAATATTTCGCCTTAAGCCCCAAAATTCCTAGGTACAACCCTGTCCTCACCCTCGAGGAGATTCTCCACTAATCACAAAACAACTACACAATCGATTTTCTAGCTCACCGAAAACTTTTACAATATCTCACGATTGTCAATACCACAACACACTCCTCTAAGTGTTGGCCTACACGTAGCACCTTTCTCAAGTACTTTGATTTACTACCTCTCTCTAGGCTTTACAACCAACACCACTCCTCTTGGAATTGATCACGGTCTCTCCCAACCACTCTTTTAAGTGTCCTTGTGTATTATAACGTGTTCTCAACAATCAAGTACAAATACAAGATTTTATTCTACAATACAAATTGAGAACGAAATAAAAACTCACTCTCAAAGAATCACTCACCACAACCCAAATATACAATATGTGAAAATACTTGAGCTCAAATAGGTTGTGTGTGAAATCAATGAGTAAAAATAAAATCAAACTCGAATTAATCTAGCAAATATAAATATAACAATTTAAATATAAACAAGCTATATAATTGAGTTTAGAAAAACTTTTCCAAGAACAAGAGAGATAGAGTTTCGAAGAATGATGCTCAAAACTGAAATGATCTCCTCCTCTTGTAAATTCTTCAGCAAATGCAGAGTAGTTTTTTAGTCGATTGATGCATAGTGTCGGTCGACT